CCAACTAACTCAATAGTGCAGATATATGTTTAAACTTCGGCATAGAAAGGAAGGTTAACTTTTTTTCTCCTTTCAGTTAGATTATATGTAGTAATTGAATCTTGCTCTAATAATCCTTGTACTCTTCATAATTCTCTATGTATATGTTTGAAAATATTGTCAAATCGTGTTTCTTTCCAAGATTAAACTACGCTAATTTTTTAAAATTGAAAATGATTTTTTTATAAAAGCCAACTGCCTAAAAATAAATTTTAGTAAAATATTAAAAAGAAAGATAAGTGTGCTGACCATTCGCTTATAAACTTAACTCATTCAAAAATATATACAGATAAATACAGATATATAGGCGTCTTTAGTCCAAGGACCTTTTAGTGCCCGTTTACGTAGCACCTGAACCTATAACTCAATATAGCAAAACCTTTTCAAAACCAAAAGCGAAAGTCTGTCGAGTAATCCTAACCAAGTGCACTATCTGCTTTTTTTAAAACCGTATATAAGACTATTAAAGTAACACAATACGCAAATTCAGCTAAGGGTGCATGCAAATGCATTCATTCGCGTTAGCTTAAATAGTGGACGATGACAGCTGATAATACTGACACAATATGTAATCCATGTATATGCATGATAAGCAACCCTAAAGAGAAGTTATTTAAGGCTTCCGACATATGTATTAGTTTACAATTTCCAATCAAGTACAACAACATCTTACGGTTTGTTTATGTTCGTTTTGTTTTTGAAAACGACTTAATGGGGTTGCAATATAATACTTGGGAGTTTGTTAAATGTCGACACATGTATGCCAACTATAGCTATTAAATTATACAGGTTTCGCGTCAATCGTACGGTATATGCCAACCAATATATAATATAATTGTTAGATAATGGTTAAAATAACGGAGAAAAGAGACTTTTTTTGGCACAACCAGCTAACCAGTTGTTAGATAATTTTATCGAAATTTCACTGACCATATGGACACACATTAAATGTTTTAACCAACACAGAAGCCATGACGTCAAGAAACGGACTAACCCTACTGTCATTTAAATGGATTTTATGTATGGATTTTTTCTTTGTTACAAATTATTCGCAATAAAAGTCAAACTATAGCTTCAAACGTGAACACAACATTCGCTAATTTATACTTTGCTGAATGCGCCTGACTGTCTACCACTTTTACGCCAACGACCGTAATACGGTTCAAAAAATCTCTTCGTTATTTGTACATTAGGATTCTCGGTTCGAAAACTGTTTTGATGTGCAAATTTCATCAAAAGCATTATATGTTTAAATTTATGGCAAGATAGGTATGCTTGCTTTAACTTCAGTTGCCTAAAATTTGCAACCGTAGATCACAGCGATGTCATAAGTAAAAAGAATTTGTGTACGTATCACAACATTTGCAACATTCTGAAAGAAACTTCAGAGACCTGTATGCCTTTGTTCTTGATCGGCATCAAATGCGTAGCCAAGTTAAGCATGTTTATCCATTCTGTAGCACACATATTCCTGACCGAATAAATGGTAATAACGGTTAGAGTTTGAGAATAGATTTCTTTTTCATTACTTATTAACTATTAGTACAACAAACAGGTCTGTATTCTATGGGCGATTTTGCAATATCTGTGCAAAAATAGAAAAAACTTACAACGCTTAACCAATATTATAAAGCATCCAATTTAATTTTGTTCGATTTTTTCTTTGATCGACGGCGAGCCTTACACAAAGTTCATAATTTTCTTACTTGCTGCTGTATTTGTAGATTAATCAATTTTCGAAAATTTTCTGTTTTCCATTTGTATGTCTCTTTCTGCAATTCCATTCCTATTATCTTTCTACTCAAGTTTTCTTGAAGTAAGAAGCAGACATCAAAAAAATAGAAAATTCTATGACGGAACGTTATAAAGATCACGTTAATGATTAGAAAATCTAACGTAGCAAATCACAACAAACCCTCTAACTGATATATGCCAAAAAGCACTAATATTGAATACCTATTACATAAAGTCTGGAGACTATTTCAAGCATATAGCTTTGCCGACAGCCCACTGTTATTTGATTAACAATCAAAATGAATAAAAATTTTATTTAAATTTTCTGTAAGTCAAGCTCTTACTCTTAATCGAATCAAGATCAACTCAGGCTTCATTGAGTTGAAATTGAAAATTTTCCTCTTACTAATGAAAAGAAAATTTCTTTAATCCAGGTAAAGGAGTGGCTTTCAACGTTTAATACACATAAGGGTGTGTAAATAGCTTGTTTTCTTTTTTTTTTGCTTCAAGGATATGAATGTCACTAGCACCTGACTCATTTACGAAAAAAAAACGTTAAAGAAGCTCGAATACATATCAATTTATGCTTACTTCAGGCTCCTAATCTATGTGCACAGGAACCGGACCTATACAAATCAAAATAATAGAGTATGTACATAAACAATACAAATATACATAGACAGTGCCGTATACATATATAACAACAATATTGACAATAACAACCTATCCTCCTAACTGCCTGACCACTCGCCTATGTAAAAATTTTATACACTCTTGGTTACAAAGGCGCATTTATTGACAGCTCTTCTATGAATAAGCTGAAGAGTGAGCAGAAAATTATAGTGGCGTCCTTCTGACGCCGTCTATGTTTGCTAAAGTGGAAACTGCAAAAAAACTAAATGCACGCACACGTTTTTTGCCAACTTTTATGGCTGGAAAGAGAAGACGCCTAGAAAGTCAGAAAATCGTTTTCATTAACGGTATTGCAATGGAAACAGTTATTTTATTTTTATTGTTTCTTTTATTTTTAAACTAAATTTTTTGCGAATGCTTATGAACTCTATTTAATTACCGATGTGTGAAAAAATTTTAACAATAATTTCGTCTTACTTTTCTTTTACATTTCAATGACTCACACAACTATTTTTTCGGCCAAAATATCGCTAATAAGTAGATAGGATAGGATACTTTGCAATGAGTATTAATACTCGTATAGCAATCTTCAAAAAATTAAGTAACATAACACTAAATAAGAAGTGAGTGAAAATAAATTAAAATTTAACTAGCAGAGACACTTACCATTTCTGATAAGAAAACTCTGCTAATGACTTAGCACAGCTTTCTAGTATGGGTGTTATTCCATAGCTATTTTTCGCTAAGGCGTTAAAAATAGCTCCCATAGGCAGATTTTGAATTTGTTTAATTCGTTTCGAAAGTATTTTCATATAGACTCATGAAATGTCCATAGAAACATTTTCCTTTTTTTTAATATAGAAGAAGTAGGCTTTCGAATCCATCTACATCTTAATTGTAATTATTTAATAGAGCTCTGTTAAGTCGTTAACACAGATGGTAGGAGTCCTATCGGAAATGGTAGGTATCTTTGATAGGTAAATTCGACTTTATCTTCACACCCTTCTAAATAAGATCGTAGGATGACATAGTGATGTTGCCACTACTCGACAAATCCATATGACTTTTAAATAGTGCCATACTTCAATCTAAATATGTCAATATGTTATGACAAGTCACAATTTACAATTGTTTTAAGACCTTTACTTTTGTTGTTATCGTACAATGGGAGAAACTAGAAATTTCGTCTACAGCTTCACTAAAACTATTGTAAACTTGTTAACAAGCGACCGGAAAGTCATGAGATGTCGACAACAAACCGAAACCGTAATAATATTTTCACTAAATGTTTCCCATTGCGATGTTCTTGCTTTTAATAACATATCATTCCCCCGGAACTTTAGTAAAACCCGATATCACGATCACGATCAGAATTTTTCTGCCGTGTTATATGAATCCGTCTTATAAGAACCCAATAATAACCAATTAAAAGTTTTATCGGCGGTAAAACATGGAACAAGTACTTAGCGTATGGTCCGTTCGATTACCGATCTGCAAATCTGCAAAAAGGATCTTATGCGTCAAATTGCACTGGCACCAATGTTTGCGATAAAATTTGTGGTACATGTGCAACTATACGATTCGATGTTTTCATCGGTTTTGCATTTATACACAAATGACACCTAAAGTAGTTTAGCGATTGAGTTTAGATGAAAATTGAACGAAACTTCCTTTAAAGAAATTCACAATTCTTTGTAATACAAAGCTTTAAACATTATCACTATCCAATTGCACTGATTTAAAAATGGTATATTTATTAAATACGTGTATGTTTTAACCATAGGTTAAATATATAGGTTAAATATATAATATTTATAGATTTATTTATATTTATTTATTTATATATATATATTTATTTATTTATATATATATATATATATATATATTTAAGCAGCTAAACAACTTGAGCAAGCACTCGTGTTGGTTGAATTTCCATAAATTATTTCAACAAGACATGGAATAAAAAGCAAAAATTCTAAATAGATGGCGGATGTTCTTTAAACAAGTAGGGAAAATATGACGTAAAAGTGCGAAATTAACAAAAATTAAGGAAAACAATTTCATTTTTCTTCTTACACAAATACTTTCGGCACTACCTATGACTCATGTCAAACGAATAAAGACCAAACTGTTTTTTGACAAAAACGAGCAGAATAACTTCTTATTGTCGGCTAAACAAATCACACGTGCTTAGAAAACCAAGTGAGCCTTGGATCGTAAAAAAAAACAGTTTTCTACATTTTCTATAAACAAAAGTATTTAATTAAATGTTTATTGTGATTCAACAGATAATACACAGGAAATGCTACAAAAGGAAAAAAGCACGTCCAACATAATTGCTTTTCGCCTTACTGCACTATTTTACTTTTGTTTTTAATCAAACACATGATAAAACATCCAAGCGTAGGACAAATTTTTTATTTGTTACAACTCCGAATGAAGATACATTTTATGAAAGAAAGTGCTTATGAAGAAATCTTTGGCAAGGACGCAAGAAAAGAATAATCCAGAAGGCGACTAATCACAAAAAAAAAAATGGAGAATCTTAATTCCTTGGTAAAAATTATTCTCTTTTTGAATTTGCTTTTACTTACTTGCTAGATGGTTTGCTGTCATCAACACCTTCAAAGCTCATCATTTTGTTTGTTTTTTCGAATTGTATATAATTTACGTAAATAGCACGCTTCTTTTATTTATTTATTTTTTTTTTTTTCTAAATAAAAAACAAATGGCGTTTGTTTTCTTTTGTTACAAATGCACTTTAATTAATTTTCAGACTTAATAACAAGAACGCCCAACTTTTGTTGTCTTATTATACACTATATTTGTAATGTGTATATTTCGGTTTATAAACTAGACTATATTGCGAAGGAATAAATGAAAAAATCTTTAAGATCGCAAGGAAACGTACAATTTCAATTTTAAATTCAATTTGTAAAATGTATACAAAAATCTGAAGGCGACTAATAAAAAGACACAACTTTTCCCTCCGAATTGCTGTTGGCTTCTGGCTTCTTCCAAACTAATGAACTACAACTAATGTTGGCGGCTAACAAAACACAGAGCTGCCAATAAAATCTTTTTTATTAATTTGTTGAATAGCCGAAGAAGAAGAAGAACAAAACATACCTGCAATAACACAGTTGAAGTACCTGATTCTTAAACATATGTCAAAGCAAATTTCTTTTATTTTTCAATAAGCGTGAAAAGTTGAAATACGAAAAATAAATATAGAAAAATAAATCTTATTATTTATTTCGAGAAAAGAGTGGAAAATAAAAACTTTTCCATTTCAATTTTTGAAAACGAAAAAAAATTGTATTACTTATATCGGAAAAGAGAATAATGAAAATTAAAACATTTTATTGTTATATCTTCAGAATTTTTTATGATTATTTTATATTATAACAATATTATAATACTATTTTTTCTTATTTTTGCAGCATTATTGTTTCATAATGGTGGGTAGACAGATTGCATTGTTTGCAAATACAATAGATGTAAATATGTTGAAAAAAGATATGTGTTTCAAATCTCTTCCGATGAATTGCAAGATGGATTTACATAAAAAGAATAATAAAAGTCGATTTTTTATTTTCATAAAACATCTTAAATCCTTTTTTTGTTTATTCTTTATATCCTTCATTTCAATACAATTCAAATGAAAAGTGCAAGGGATATGCCGATTTTCTCACTTATTGGCCTCAGCACCAAACAATCTGAAAATTTCTTGTGCTTTTTGCAGATATGTGTATGCGGACGGGATTCATATTTAAGTATACATGTATATAAACATGTATAAATTAGTTTGCATGTCAGGGGTACTTTTCATGGTAGAGGATATGCATTTATTGAAAGCAATTCTGTGCTCCCTCTATTCTTAACAAAAGGGAGTTCTTATTAAGAAACGACATAAAGGGAAAAGCCAGATGACGGCTTTTAGCCGTTTTAGCGAAAATTCAACTCAATGCAGTTCAATTAGTTTCAGAAAATTATTTCAGTTAAGGCCTCAATTAGAACATCTCTTTGTGCCTTGATCCAAATTTAAAGCTTATTGCCAAAATGTTCATTAGGTCGCAAACCATATAAGTAAGATTATGTGCATACTTAAAAACAGGTATCTAAGGAGACCACTACATACTCTTTTCGGTTTATGGCACGTTTTTATTTTGTGCGGAAAAGTAAACCTGCTTTTGTGTACATCTATCCATCCAATCACTTCAATAAATATTAGGTCATGATGGTCGGGGAGCTTTTCATGATGGTTGGAAGGAATTTTACCATGGCCGGGGAGAGTTTCATGATGGTTGGGGAGATTTTTATGATGGTCGGGAAGATATTTATAATGGTCGGGGAGATTCTTGTCATGGTTGGGGAGATTTTCATAATGGTCAGAGAGATTTTCATGATGGTTGGAAGGAATTTTATTATTGTTGAGGATGTTTACATTTATTGAAAGCAACTCTGTGCTCTAGCCATTCTCAACAAAAGGGAATTTTTGTTTAATAAACGAGGTAAAGGGAAAAACCAGTAATGCCATTCAGCCGTTTTAGCGAAAATTCAACTCAATGCAATTCAATTAATTTCAACAAAGTCATTTCACAAGTACACAAAGAAGAATAGTCTTATTTACGCTTCAAATAATAAAAAGAAGCCATTATATTACCGATAAGCACTTTTTAGAACAATATAGAAAATATACAGACAGTATCCGCCTGAGTGGCCGAGTAGGCAAGAGTCTCGACTATCAACTCAATGGTCGTCAGATCTCAAGTGCGGTAGAGTTTTTAATAAAGCTGAAAGCCTTAGATGCTAGTGCTTTAAGTCTTTAGTCCTAGAATTTATTCTGTGGCTAAATTTATAGTAATAATAATAATAATAATAACACAGATCATAATACTGTCTTGACTATAAATGAGTATCTTCAGCCTGCAATTTTTTCTTCTTGATGAGATCAAAAATAACAAAAGAACTATCATTATCACCAAATTTTAGTAAATTTTTCTGTTGCACCGTTCTTTGGAGGAATTCTCGTTTAAACGTATAGAATGAGTATTTAGTAAAGCAGGCTATGGTGTTCAGACCTATTATAATAATAGCACCATACTCTATTTCTAAAAAATTTGACTGAACGCAAGGATCTTTCGTAGAGGACACTCTAATTTTATTAACATGATCGCCGAAAACTTTGCATATGGCTTGGGCCTCAATACGATCTCGCGCAGGTGTGGAAGTAGCATATGTCACGTCGTCTTTAGTTATGTGCTCATCTTTTATAAGTGCTCTGATAGGCGTCACCTGATAACACGTAGTCCAAAATTTCTCCTAAAATATTTGCTTTACGTTGTAAAGCACGTTCTAGTTCTTCCAATAGCAATATTGCGTCGCTTTCACCCATAACGTACGCATCGCCATTCTTGTCAAAAGGTCGCGAGGCTTGGCTTAGAATTTCGTTAAAAGCTGTACTTAAGGCTCGTATTCTACAAAATCCAGCAATTGATAGTGGATCAATGCACGATTCTCCGCTTCCAGCCAACATTATATCCACATCACCGTTTCGTATAAAACGCATTGCTTCGCTTATGGCATGCGAGTAAACTTTATCTTCCTCTTTATTTTTGGTATAATGTTTATAGGCTACAACTCACAGATAGTAGCTATTATGTGGGCTTCGCCAAAATATTATTCGGTACTATCAAATTAATACACGTGATAGACGAGATTTAGTGTACCATAACATCGAATGTCAATATTTCCCATCCATCTTTACTGTTCTTCTCCATGGAACCGCGCAAATAAAAATACATGTAGCGTACCTCAAACCGAGAAATAAAAGAACTTTAAACTTTATTGTGTCGACTTTGATATGACCGGGCAATGATTAGCTCGAAAGTTTGGAACAAACAGTGAATATAGTGATTGTGAAGCCAAAAGGAGTACATCGATCATATCTTAACCGACCTGATACCAATATTGAATTTGAAAGAACCTATACGGACACTCTTGACACTAATGGAAAAAATGGACTTACTACTTAAGCTAGCAGCGCCAGAGGAGGTTAAATAGCATATACTATCTTTATTATACCATGATATGGCGCCGCAGAATTGCCTTACGTTGAAAATAAAAAATAAAAATATATAAAATTAAATTTAAATGTTGGACAATTGATGTCTTTCTTGTAATTGTTTACAATTCAATGGGAGGTATAGCGAATTCGATTGAAAAACAGACGATGCTATGAAGAATTCAGTAATACCGCGAATCAAAAAATAGGAGAGAGTAATGAAAAATAGTAGTAAAACTTCCTCCTTTTCTATGTGTACTAAAAAAAAGACCAGCTTCCAAGTTAAGTTCCAAACTCATACGCTTACTTATAGCCGGAAATGAGATGAATTTCAAGTTGAATCGTTTTGTGTCATGGAACAATAATATCAGATTGTCACTGTTCGATGAAGAGCCAAATGACGATTCGGTGCCATTTACTACATCTAACTATTGTTCAATAAACCTTTATATTGGAAATTTTTGATTTCCACTTTCTGGAGGCCTTTCGTGCACATATTTTTCGTATTGGCGGCCAGGACAAAAACCATTATAGAATGTCAACAGTTTGTAAGCATCTGAGAGTAATTAAATGAGCAAGTCACGTGTGATGCGACTTCGATTTTGGTGCCATAAGAGAAGGATAAAATGAGCGAATCTGAATTCGGTGCCATATCTACAGCTGCTCATCTCATATACTTTGCAATGGCGTATTCTGTGAGCAGCCGCAGGTGGCGTTTCTCTAAGTCGTTTAGGTGATTAAAAATGACTGGACTGTGCCTGCGTACTTAATTCTGTTGATGAGGAGACAGCCGTCGTAGGACGTGAAGCCGCGGGACCATTCCGAGGTGATAACGTCCCTCAAATTTTCTAATATCTCTGCAATCTCCACTGATGGCCTGGTTCTTTTCCTCTCTCCGATTCTTAGCTTTCTGCTCATGTAAACGGACATCATTTGTGTAACGTTCAGAATTTAATTTTTTTATTGTGTTAGAGTAATTAAAAATCACTAATCGAAATGAACCGTTGAAGCCTGTTTAATATTTTTGTATCTGCTTCCTTCTTGTTGAAATGCTTCCTTTCGGAAGGATCTAAAAAAAAGAAAAGAAAAAAACTATAAGTAATAAATAATAAATCTCCTTGTATTTACTATATATACTATAAGGATATTTTTCCTCACCTAGACGTCCAGCCTCGGACTGCTGCCGCAGTCACCGAGACGAGCGAAAACACATGGTGTTTTCTTCTCCGTAGCGCGCGGTAAGGACACCCCCTGGTTAAATATGTATGATGAAATATATATGAAGCGAAGATGGTAAGTTATATTTAGTTTAAGGGCACAATCCTATTAGCATTTTATAACATTTATTTAATTTTTCAAGGTCTTTCTAATGACAGTTAAGTTGTATCGAAAAAACATTAAACCGGAATCCATCGGCATTATAACACAGTACATAAAACAAGCTGAACAATTGCGCGACCTTTTTGATTATGCCAATGTAGCAATGCCCAAAATTGGTTCTGCGGAGCAATTCTAAGGACAGGTATAATTTTCATAAAATTTCACTAATGTTCGAATTAATAGTAATGTTGCTTTCGCTTGGTTTTTTTTAGAAACGCGACATCATTTTGATCTCAACAGTGAGATCAAATGAGAACTACATAAAAAACGATTTGCGCCTTGGACAAGGTTTCATCGAACACGAGAAGCAGGTTAACTTAGCAATAACTCGCGCACGGAGCCTTGTTATAATATACGGCAACCCCTTCCTACTCATGTTCGATCCTCATTGGCGCAGGATTATAAAGTACTGCGGCGATAATGATGCCTCCTTCGATGTGAAGGTTTGACCCTTTAATATAAAAACCAAAATTCTTTTTGAAATTATCTAAAATGTTTTTAGGATTTCCCTATTATCCCTCGAACGGTTTTTGAACGGCTTCCTACTCGATGTGGTGAAT